ACATACAACAGCGGGGATTCGCTGGTCGTCACCGACCCAACTACTAATCCGCCCCTTACCAGCTTGACTATGGGAGAGCGGACGGGATCCCGTATTTTCTGGTAGGTATGGTCGTATGTGTCTGAGAGGCTTTTCTTTTTGGCATATAACCCTCCAATGTGCTTGTTTAATTGCATCAACCGATACCTCCAAAGCAGCAGACAACTCATAATACTCAATGGGTCTAGCAACTATGCATGTATATTAAATTACTCAGACACTACGAAATAACCCTGTTCTTACCTCCAACAGTAAGTTATCTCCTCAAACACCTGGTAGCTTGTCGCAGCGTAGTACTCGATGTTCAATTGCAACACAAACCGGTCTCAACTGACTCGCCCAAGATTCCCCCACATCTCTCCATTTCTACACGTGCATTAAATACGGCTATCAGAACAATCTATACGCTACCGTCGATCACAAGTAAATGTCACTCGTGCTAGACATTCGTGGTTGAGTTGATGGCTGGGATTGGCCAGCGAATAGCCTCATGGTGGAACCACGTGCGTTCTAGAACAGCTGTAATACGGCACCAGTAATTAGTTCAAGGCCCAGAACCTGCCGTGTGATCATGTCGGCACTTCACGGGAATTTTCGCTCTCGTCGTATCTTTTATACATGGAGACGTCCTGATGTTTTTGTTTGCTATGGCTGATTCAAGTGTCTTCATTGTTCGTGTCTCACGATGAACTTTACAGGCTACTTGTGTAGTCTGACCGACAAAGATGATATCGAGTACCGCCCACTTCGCTCGAGAAGTCCTTCAAGCGAAAATGGTGCACACTCAGATACCATTTGCGCTCCTATGAAATACAGATCTCGCGTTTGGCGACTCTGCACGAGATGGGTCAGACCCTGGGTTGCGGCTTGTCTTGGAATACTCCTGGTCTTGTCAGTCGTTGAGTTTACTGCCACGAGGATTCTAAGCTGACCTCCCATCAGAATATCTTTCTTTCTGTTGACGTTTGTCGTCGAGCGATACGCCGTCTACAACTTTGAGTCCTCAGGTTTAGCTCTAGCAGATCCTGTTGAAGACTATGGTGACGCAGCCGAAAGTGCCAAGCGATGGGTTGTAGACCTATCAACTCAGGTTTCGCCAGTCATGGTGCATTCTCACAACGACTATCTAAGACCACGGCCGTTGTTCTCGGCTTTATCTGTCGGGTGTGCCAGTGTAGAGGCAGATGTGTGGTTAAGCAGCAACGGGAAAGATCTCTTGGTTGGTCACCATTGGTGGGACCTCATACCAAAGAACACACTCGAGTCTCTCTACATCGCGCCCCTACTGCAGATCCTCGACTCGTTCAATTCTCCACCTTATGTCGATGACTTGGCGGATACAGATGACCCTGTGGGCGTCTTTGCGACTGAACCGAACAAGACCCTTATCCTATTCATCGACGTCAAGGATGACCCCGCAAAGACTTGGCCAGTTGTTCTAAAGCAGTTGGAGCCTCTACGGGAGAAGGGCTATCTCTCATATCATCGAAAGCAGTCTTCGACATCTGCCAATGCATCATTCACATCTGGACCGATAACTGTTGTGGGTACTGGGAATATCGTCAAGCGGCGAGACGTTAACATTGGCCCCGATGTGGCCAAATGGCAAAGGTATCATGATGTATTCCTTGATGCATCTCTAGATCTCTTGGCACGACCCGGTTTCTGTCAGAGAAATGACAGCCTTTGTCTTGAAGTCGGAGAGAACGAATTCTATACTGCTTCTGTATCTTTGTGGAGGGCTATTGGCACAGTCATCCCATACTTTAGCAGGTCTCAAAAGATCAACTTAAGAAATCAGGTCCAACTTGCGAAGGATCTTGGCCTCAAGTCAAGATACTGGGAATTGCCAGGATGGCCAGTGTCACGGAGGAACTACGTCTGGAGAACACTTGCGCAGGAAGGTGTTGACCTTCTAAATTCCGATGATATTGTTAGTGCAGCCACAAAGCACTGGCATTCGAATTACACAATAGAAGGCGCATGGATACTTGGTATAGCATCTTGCCTCTTTAGCTTCTTGTTCACGATAACATGGTTTGGCAAGAGGATGATGCGAAGGATCATGCCTATTTAGAACCGTATATGAATAGATACCCATTTGTTTTATGAGCGGAGCAGTAGACCCTAGAACTTACCACTCGTGTCAACCTTTTAACTGCTGATCGTTAATAACGGCGACCGCTGTAACGGCAGACGGATCTTCAATGTGGTTGATGCTAAGTTTCGCCATGTATTGGACAATTGGGGAAGGGCTTTCGACTCAAGACGGTGAAGCATCATCTGGCGGTGATAGTATCACACGACGTCGCATTGGTGTCTCATGGAAACTAGTAAAACAGCCGCTGGCTCTTGGGTTGAAGCTATAATGAAGATGAACCCCACCAAGAGTTGGGCTAAGGGTACGGTGTGCGCGTCTGGGCGGTCTGCCGAACTAACCGTCCCAAAGCTTGGCACTAAGCAAAGCGGCCTCAACACCAACAAGACACAAGCGCTGTACTGAGGTAGTGACATGTTGGGCATCTTGGCAGTTTTGAAGATACTCACTATCATTTAATCATTTGGTATCACAACAACTAAACCATGGTAACGCAAAGACTACTGCAAAGACCCCTCATCAAGGTTTGTTCCAAAAATAACAGGGACCCCTGCATCTTGCCACAGCCAGCGGCAGGACAAAACGCCAAGACAGCTGTGACCACCAAGCAAAGAGCCAAGTGTTGCTCAAAGCTTCGCAAGCAGATACGTGGCATCACTCAATGATATGAGGCGGTGCAGACAAGAACCCACTCTGCGCAACGTTGGGGTCTCCGATTGGACTCATCTTGGGTATCATTGGAGACGTCAACTGTGGCTGCGAACGAATACCTTCGCCTTCACCGTGACAGTCAGGCATATATAGTGGCCGGATCTCAAGTCTTGATGAAAGATCTTATTCTTCTAACTTCAAAGACTCCAAAACAAAATGACTCGCTACGGACACAACACCGAATTCCAGCAGCAGGGCTTCCCTCAGCAGGGGGGCGATGACCGTCGCAATGAGCAAGGTGGCTACCAACAAGGCGGATATCAGCAGGGAGGCCAGCAGTATGGCCAGCAGCAGCAGCAGTATGGTCAGCAACAGTACGGCCAACAGCAGGGTGGTTACCAACAGGGCGGCTACCAGCAAGGTGGCCCCCAGCAAGGAGGATACCAACAAAACCAAGGAGAAGCATCTTCATACTACTCCCAGTCTCACCAAAACCAATCTGGTCCTGGAGACTTCCAGGGTGGTGAAGGTGAACCCCAAGATGGCGAGCGTGGCTTCATGGGAGCCATGGCTGGTGGTGCCGCCGGTGCTTTCGGTGGTCACAAGATCGGTGGTAAGACTGGACACAGCAAGTCCAGCACTGTCATCGGTGCGCTAGCAGGAGCCTTCAGTGGTCACAAGCTCCAGGACGCCGCCTCGGACTGGAAGGATGACCGTGATGAGAAGAAGGAGGAGGAAAAGCGAAGAGAAGAGGAAGAGAAGCGCCGAGAGGAGGAGGAGAAGAGAAGACGCGAGGATGAGAAGAGGAGACGGGATGACGACCGACGAGACGACGACCGTCACAGCCACCACCACCGCAGCTCTGGCCGTCGTCGCAGCTCTTCTCGCCGCCGAAGCCGCAGCCGTAGCCGTAGCTCTTCTCGCGGCCACTCACGCCGTGGCGGTAACTACGCCGGTAACTTCACCGCCTCATCCCGAGACATCAGGCTCGATGCTCACGGCGACTATGTCCTCCACGCTTCCTGCAAGCGTGAGGATGGCGACTACCAGCACACCTCCATCTCCCTCAACAAGCTTCTCGAGAACGATAGAGGAAGCTTCCGTTGGTCCGCCGGCGGCCACCACGGTGGTTCCTCGCAGGTTACTGTTCAGCAAGGTGACACTCTCCGAGGCATCGCCGGCCGATTCAACACATCTTTCGATGAGATTGCCAGAATGAACAACATCAGCAACCCTGATCTCATCTACCCTGGCCAGACTCTCCAGGTGCCTGGCGGCGGTAGCCAGGGTGGTGGTGGTTTCGGAAACTCGTCGCGACATGTTCGTCTCGTCGATGGAGGACAGAGACTGGAGGGAGAGTTGTCTCGCGATGGCAACTGGGTTTTGAGCTCCATCATTCTTGACGAGAGAATCAGGAACTACAACGGAACTTTGGAGTTGATCTAAGTTTTAATAGTGTAAAACAGTCACAGCTCATTGCTGTATAATAAATTTTCGTGAAATCAGTTTCATTCCGTTTACAACGTGTTAAATACGAATCATTCATGGGCAAACAACTATGCACGTCTTGATCATTTTCTACTCTTGCACTGGATGCCGTTCATCTCGAGTCAGGGTTTACCTGCTTCTTCTTTTCCGCGGTAAGATTCTCAAGATACTACGGTAGACGCCGTCAACGAATCTCTTTCCTGTGTAGTTTGGGTAAGTGGTCTTCCAACTTACAAATAACGAACAGTTTTGCCGATTGATGCCAAGCTTTGGATTATAATAGTTTTACTGTTCTCTACCTGCATTTTTAACTTTTACAAAAGACTAGGACTGGATATTATTTATATATGATTGCTACGGTATGGTGGTCTGTCATAACAGCTATAGCACATTTCATCTTGATCGAGAAAGTTGATTCGTTTTTCTTCGCAACGGGCCTCCTTTTTCAATTCAATTTAATTTAGGCTGTAATTGAAATTAATCGATTATCGTACGTCAAAAGGAGGCTGTGCTATATATAGTGCGAACTCTGGTCTATCGGATCTTGGTCTCGAATTGCCGGTGAACAAGGCATCACATGCTTCTTGATCCTTCGTCTCAGGTTCAGTCAGGCTGGGGCGATCTTAATCATATCGTAAACATGGCATTTAATTGAACAGGGATACATATAAACAGTGAGGGTTAGCGTGACGGTTTGGTCTCTTCAATGGGAATAAAAAGGTTTTGATGATGCTGCAGGGTAGGGGAATTAGTGCTGGCGGATAACCCCGCTGATAACGCTGATAAGCCGGATATCGCGATGAAGAAGATGCTCCATGACGTCAAAAGCGTTGGCGATGATGACGGATTCAATTGATCAAGAGTGAGTGAGTGAGTGATTAAATTACCACAGAAACACAAGTCACAGTTGGAGTTTTACTTTTACTATAATTGGTCGAAAATGATTCATGATTAGAATTGTAAATTCACTCTTGGCTGTTGAAGCTGACGAAGTCAATCGAGAAAGAGGATTCGGAGGTTGGGCCGTTGTAACCTTGTTTACAGTCAAGGGTACGTACCCGTAATCTCGTATCCAAAAGTGCCAATTACCAGCCATTTTGCCAATGACTAATCCTGATCAAGAGTGTTGATTGGGTCGGCCCCGCTTGTGGAATGTTTTTGCTTCGCCTCAGTGACAAGACAAGAGAGATCCCCAATTTCCCGCTTTTCAAGGTGCTCATCCCCCAGCAACTTGCAACTTTTCCCCATATCAATCAACACGACAGCAAAGGGCAGACAGACATTTTAGACGGTCGCTTTCATCCTTGAGCGTCTCTCTGTCTCCGTCCGACACTCTCGCTTCAATTTCCGGACTTTTGTTGAGTTGAGTGACTCTCCGCCTCGGCCGAAAACATCTTCTCTTCTCCCTTGACTCGACTCGACTTGACTTCTGGATCCACTCGCTCGCTCGTTAATTATCATCGCGACTCAACATCAACAATGCGCCATAGCGTTAACTAATTCCGTCGCAACCTTTTCAACACCCGGGCCATAAGCTCTTGATCGCCGCGACACAGTTTATTCCATCCACTAAGCGTCCTGTCGCCTGTAGCCAATTCAGTGCACCACCGCAGTCATGAAGTTGTTCACGTCGGTCCTCGTTCTCGTCTCATGGCTCGCCTCTTTCACCACAGCCGACAGGGTTCTCGAGTCCAAGTCGCTCAACAGCTGTCAACGAGGCTCTTTGATCACCGCCAGTCTTTTCCATGTTGTCATCACTCCCAACAACTCGGTCGCCACCTTCAATGTCAACGCTGTAGCCTCGGTCCAGGGCAGAGTCGTCTTTGACGTCGCCCTCGTCGTCTACGGCTACCAGTTCATCCGCCAAGTCGTCGACCCTTGTTCCTCGACCCTTGACCTCCCTGCTCTTTGTCCCATGACACCTGGTGATATCGACATCAAGTTCAACTTCAAACTCGGCGATGCTTTGGACCAAGTTCCCGACATCGCCTATGGCATTCCTGATTTGGATGCTACTGTCCGCGCCTTTGTCAATATGACCGACACTGGGGAGAGCGTCGCTTGCGTCGAGGCCGACTTCTCCACTGGAAAGACCGTCGAACAGCTCTCCGTCAAATGGGTTACCGCCATCATCATCGGAATTGGCCTCGTCTCGTCGGCCTGCATCTCACTAGCCGGCTACGGCAATGCAGCTGCCCATCTCGCTGCCAACACCCTGGCCCTCTTCACATACTTCCAGGCCCAAGCTATCATCGGACTCACAGGAATCACCATGCCGCCCATCGTTGACGCCTGGACTCTGAACTTCCAATGGACCATGGGCATCATCCGACTTGGCTGGATGCAGGACATCTTCACCTGGTATCAACGCGCAACAGGTGGCACGCCTGCTCGCATCTTCGATCATCTTGCCACTTCCTCAGTCCAAGTCGCCAAGCGATCACTCGACTACATTCCCGGCGCCGCAACTCTTGCTCGCCGTAGTTTTGCCATGACCAAACGGGCCAACATCGAGCTTGAGAGTGGTTCCTTCCTGGTCTACGGTATCCAGCGTGTCGCTTTCCGCTCCCACATCGAGACGACGAACCTCTTCGTCACCGCTCTCACCTTCTTCCTCATCGCAATCGTCTTCACCTGCATACTCGTTCTTCTCGCCAAGGTTGTCCTTGACCTGTTCGCAAAGCAGGCTTGGATTAAGCATGAGCGATTCCTCGAGTTCCGAACCGAGTGGCAGACAATCCTCAAGGGCATCCTTCTTCGACTCACCCTTATGGGCTTTGCTCCCATGGTCATTCTTTGTCTCTGGGAATTCACTCAAGTTGACTCACCCGCATTGGTTGTTCTTGCTGTCTTCTTCCTCATTTTCGTGACAGCTACCCTTGCCATGGCGGCCTTCAGGATCGTCACCATTGCGCGACACAGCAACCCCGTCGTCACCCTGTTCTCCGACTCGCGAGTATTGAACAAATGGGGCTTCCTGTACATCCCGTACCGAGCTTCGGCCTATTATTTTGTTGTGCCTCAGCTTGCTTATGTTTTCGTCAAGGGCATGTTCATCGCCCTGAGCCAGAAGAGTGGCCCAGTCCAGGCCGTTGCTCTCATTGTCATCGAAGTCGCTGCCTTGATCGCTACGAGCGTCATGCGGCCTTTCATGGATAAGAGTGTCAACTCTTTTAACATCGCCATCTTTGTGCTCAACTTTCTCAACTCCATCTGCCTCTTCATCTTCACCAACGTTCTGGGTATGCCTAGGATGGGTCCTTCAGTCACTGGCCTCGTCCTCTTCGTCGCCAATGCAGCCTTTTCGCTTATTCTGCTCCTCATGATCATCATTTCCAGTGCGCTCGTCTTCTGGCGCAAGAACCCAGATGCCCGATACCAGTTCATGGCTGACGATCGAGCATCTTTCATGAAGTCCAAGTCGTCGACGCAGATTGACACCATGGGACAGCTTGACGCATTGGCTGCCACAGCCCGTGGTGACCCGACTGGCCACTCTCGCCCTGTGTCGAGGTCATCATCCGAAATAGCTGCGCAGATCTACCGTCCAGGCCCACCACAGCATGCAGTCAGTTCTTCCATCTCCTCGAGGAGTCCCCACAAAGACTCGCAAGTCGACATTAGAACGGCAGAGCGCCAAGATGCGTGAATATAACAGCATATATTGGATCATCTAATCGGATTAGTTACTTGGATATGGATGTTTTGTTCTATGGTATATAGTTAATTACTTGCCATGGCCGATCGGTCATGGACAGGGACATGTTGTCAACCCCTTATAGCAGGCAAATCGCTTGTGTTAAACGATTTACGACAATCTAATACTGTTGATCTTGCCAGGATGGCGTTACTTTGAAAGTATGTAGTGATTATAATCTATAGAGAAGTCTATGAAAATTACTATTCGTGTGTATCGCGTCCCGATTAGATTTCCTGATATTAATAATTATTCCTCCCCTAACCGCCATGGTATTTGTTCTACATCTTGCTCAGATGATCCATTCACCCTTGATCCCCAAATCGTTTTCTTGAATCCACATGGCCCTTCTCCTGTCTCGCTTGGCCTTCTTCGCTCTCCAAAATGCTTCATCATCTTCGCTGTCGGTACTGTCGCCTTCGAGGATAGCTGCTGTGTCCGCTCTGGTGTTGCGGTTACGATTCCAGTTACTTGAGGTAGAAACCCTTGGGGTCTCCTTTTCTGAGCGCACTTGTTGCGATGCCTTTGAGACGGGTCTGTAGCGACTTGGCATGCCGACAGTGTTTCGTTCTGATGGTGCGACTGAAGGGGCGTATGCAGTATCTCGGTTGTGAACAGACTTGGCATAGTTTGAGCGAGCATACGTTGACTTTGCATAAGTTGACCTAGCATAATTGGATTGCGCATAGTTGGACGGCGCATAGTTTGATGGCGCGTAATTGGACTTTGCGTAATTTGAAGGAGCATAATTTGAAGGGGTGTAATTAGGCATTGCACCGGGCATACCCATACCCATTGCAGACTGTTGGTCCCAGGCCTGACCACCTCTTTGTTGATTCATAGTGGCCATACTGCGCAAGAAGTCCGTTTGGGCTTGAATGAAGTTGAACATTTGGTTATTGGGAGGGACTGGGGGCATTTGTGGCACAGCAACTGGCGTTTGCGGTCGCGAGTATGGCATTGGCGGTTGCATGGCAGGCATATTGAATGCGCCAGGTATTGGCGGTGGCTGATGAGATGACGAGGCCCAGTTGAAAGCGTTGTTGGTGTCAGGTAAAGGCTGGAAGCCATGACTTGGAGCAACACGTCGCATCGCCTTGGCGCGCTCTTCACTTGCTATCACGCCGACAAGACCACCTGGAATAAGCTGTTGGTTGTTCATCGGCCATTGAGCGTTCATAGCCCCGGCATATGGATCTTGCGGCAACCCGTTTGCAAAGGCTGGCAATGGTGATCGTAATTGAAGCTGCACACCATAGTCTGATCTCCCATCAGAGCGTCGTTGCATCTGAAGTATGGCTAGAGGCACATCGTCCTCATCGTCATCCCCGCCGTATTGTGTTGTTGCTTCCTCTTGGTGACCTCGGAATGTCTTGAAGGACTTCATAGACCATGACGAAGGCTTTCTCGAATGATGAGACGGTATCGTTGGAAGGTCAGGTCCCTTGGTACTCTTCATCATCCGCTGTCGGTAGTTGTCAAGGTGCGCCTGTTGCTTCTTACGCTGCGCCATCTGCTTTCTGACAAGCTCAGCCTCGTCGACACCCTCGTAGTCGATCTTGTCCTCCTCGTCTTCGCCCTCGTAGAGCCGTCTTTCAGCTTCTTCTCTAGCCCTTTGCTTCCGCAATTGTTCAAACTCGGCAGATGTCATGACCTTATTGCGCGAGCGACGGAAGGATAATCGACCAGGTGGCGGCGGAGGAAGCTCTGCTTCAGTGGCTTCTGGAACCGCATCGAACGGCGAGACATACAAGACAGCCCAGTCCTCGAGATCTTCATCAATTCGGTGAATCTGTCTGGGCTGCGAGACGGCATTGGTAGTGGTAGGGAAGAGAGGGCTGGCGGGCTCTACTGAGTCAGGTGTGTTGAGGCTATCGTCATTGATGAAAGGCCATCTCGGTGTATTGCTACCCGATGATGGACCAACAAGCTTCTCATAATTCATGTCTTGTTCGAGTGGAAGATTGCCACTGAGGTCTTGACTCCACGACCTTGCGTACTGTTCAATGATGCCAGCGTTGGAGGAGAAGCGCATTGCATAACGATTGTTGCGTTTGGAGAGTTGAGAGTCGTGAGAGTCGTTCAGAAGAGACGAAGTGTCGGGCGGTTCGAGGAAGGCGCCGGATTTGACAAAAGGCTGGATCTTGGCGAAATCGAAATCGAGGGGACTGGTCCTGTTGAGAGTGGATGCAGTGACGTCCATGCTATGGCCGCTTGGCCTGGGCGATGTTACCGATAGGGAATCATCGTGTGAGAAGTGACTCTGTGCTATCGTCAAAGACATGAAAGGCCAAGTACAGCAGTCTGCAGGCCAAGTGAAGCTAATGCAGAGCGAGTCAAGAAGATGGATTGCGAAGAAAGAATGTCATGAAGCGAAACGAAATCCGGCCCTGGACTTGTCATCAGTAGCAAGACATCCCTTGAGATGCATATCCCTTCTATGAAGGGGGCCATGTTTTGGAGGATCAAGCGTGAGGTGTCTCGTTGTGGAATGATGGCGATGCGAGGAATGTATTGATGTACGGTGTAATGAGATAAGGTTCTATTTATAGTTGTAAATAAAGCTTGGTGTTGCTTATTCGTCGACTCTGTCGTTGTCTGAGATGAGATGAGATTAATGAATATGAATGCTTTGCTTTTGGTGGTGAAGATGTGGGGGCTGACGAGAAGGGTAGTAGTGCTTATTTCCAGCGCCCGATTAGCTGTCTCTGCACTAACAGCCCCTATCTCAAGAACATCATGATCGTGTAATATGCATTTCTCAACAGCCTTTCATGGCAGTAAATAATCTCAAAGTGAGTCCATAAATACGAACAGTAGATAGAAAGGACATCAAGTCCACTTACACTTAGTATTGATCCACCTGCTGTGTATAGTTTGCCTGCTGAATATGTCTAGCTGGTCCCTTTTGATAGCACACGCTAATTAGCCTTATCCAATTCTCAACAACCACGGCTCATTGACCCAAAGCATTGAAGAAAATAAGGACGCGAATAACCCTCACACACCGACCGAACGCGGGAGAATACTGAGAACATCTTCCTCCCCCCCCTTTGCCAAGTCAATATCTAATTCTAGTAAGACAACTGTTACTGTTTGCATCCCTTTGAATCCGCAAATGGCGTCGCCTCCCTCAGCTCCAGACCCAACCCCTCCTCCTCTCGCGCCCGATTCGGCTTCTGCGCCCGAGAAAAGCGCGAGGTCTGCTCCAACTGCAAAGCTCCGCAGCTGCGTCGTCTGTCGCAGTCGCAAGGTTCGATGCGATAAACTCTCACCCTGCTCCAATTGTCGCAGGGCTAATATTCCCTGTGTCGTTCCGTCCAATGATCGTCCACCTAGATGGGCTCGGCGGTTGGAGCGCTTCAACGGTGATGCGCAGACCGAGAGTAGGCCGAGTGGTGACCAAGCTCTGGAAAGACTGCAGACTCTTGAGAATCTGGTCAAAGAATTGAGGGGTCAGCTCGAGGTTGCTAATGCTAGCAGTCGGGGGGCTTCTTCTGACGCTGCATCACCCCCCGAGAACGTCAAAATTGCAGCTAGTCCGTCCTCATCAACAGCATCAGACGTACAGAAGCATTTCGGTCGCATGGTTCTCAAAGATGCCAATCAAAGACGTTATATCGCCAGTGGCTTTTGGTCCCGAATAAGTGATGAGGTCAGTAGCTATAGGGTCTTCTCGTATTGTGATTATTAACTGTCCATAGCTTGAGGGACTACAGATGGACACTCGTAGAATGGGAGATGATGGAGCCTCCTCTGAGGACGATGACTTCCCTGCGTCCACTCCGTCCACGCAAGAACAACACCGAGAACCCGCGGAACGACATGCATTCTTATTCCAAAATGACATGTCGCCATCATCACTAGGCGGGCAAGACTTTAATCCCTTGCCATCTCAAATTCCATTCTTGTTGGATGTATTTGAAGAGAACATGAACATCATTATGCACGTAGTGCACATGCCGAGCATCAGGAAGATGGTTCGTTCATCTCGTGGTTCTAAACCTCAAATTACTTTCAAGCACCAAGCTCTACTCTTCTCCATTTACTACGCTGCGATAACATCGATGGAAGATGAGGATGTGTTGACCAACTTTGGCGCTACTAAAACAGACCTCAACCTCAAGTTCCGTCGTGGTCTTGAGCAAACCCTTGCAAGAGCAGACTTTCTCAACGACCCAGATATAGTTCATGTCCAGACTTTGACCATCTTCCTTTCCCTTGCTCGGAGATATGATAGCCCAGTATACATATGGATGATGACAGGTCTTCTGATCCGCATGGCTCGCTCTGTCGGTTTGCACAGAGACGGTTCCCAATTTTCACACCTATCTCCCTTTGAAGTTGAACAGCGGCGTCGGCTCTGGTGGATGGTTATAGTTGTTGACATTCGTGCATCCGAGGATCAGGGAACCGAGTTCACAGTCACAGAAGGCAGTTTTGACACTAAGATGCCTCTCAACATCAACGACTCCGATATTGAACCGGAGACAAAAGAGATGCCTCCGGAGCGCCAAGGCGTCACGGATATGTCGCTGGGTGTGGCCATGTGCGAGTTGGCTTTTATGTCAATGCAGCTGATGGCTTCTAGCCCTCAAACAGGCGGTACAAGCCTTGAAGATCAAGCACGGTTACTTGAATCCCATCGTTCAAAGCTTGAGGAGGGCTATGCCAAATACTCAACCGACCCCGACGACATTATTAACTGGGTCGGGGTCGTCGTTACTCGCATAGTCTTGTCCAAACTGACCCTCCTGGTGTACCTTCCATCATTGTTTGCTTCGCCGAGTGATCAGTTCTCGGATGAAGTTAGAGACAAATTACTCACTGCTGCTATCGAAATAGCAGAGCATAACCACGCTCTAAATGCTGAGACGAGGTGCCGCCAATGGAGATGGATATACCAAACGTATACCCATTGGTATGCTATTGTCTGGCTACTGATTGAGATTTCCCGCAGGCAGTGGTCACCCACCATCGAGCGTGCATGGATCGCTTTACACAGTCCATGGTTGATTCCATCTCAGAATAGCATAACTAAGGATGTGCGCATGTGGATTCCTCTACGGAAGTTGATGGACAAAGCGAGAAGTCATCGCGCCTCTCAGCTCGAACAGATTCGCAAGAACCCATCGTTGGTGGAAACGTTGGAGAGGATCGATGGCTCTCTGCCTATCCCAGTCAGCCCTGACTCATCACAGCCACAAAGTCAATTCCTCGAACATTGGCGGTCGCTAGTCTGGGAAACGGCGAAGATGACTCTTGAAACTGATAGTTCCAACAATAATGCTCAAATCCATAACAACCATGGACGACAGCACCTCAATGCCTCGTCGGACCCTTCGCACTTCAACTCCGGGCATCGCTCAAGTGGATTCGACGGCACTGAGCTGAATACCCCACCAACAAATTGGGTAAATAGTCAGCCAATGGATACAGGCGTCGGATCTTGGCTTTGGACTGACCCAAGTCTGGAAACTGAAGCCTTTACTGATATAGACATGAACATGGATATTGATACGGATATCGATTGGAATACATGGCTACAGTCTGCGACTGGCTTGGAAATGAACGCTGGGAAGCCAAGTCTTACTTGAGATACGATGGGATGATAGACTAAGTTTAGTGGAGGAGTAAACCTATTTACATGTGTGAAGGGATCTCCTCAGATGAGCCATACAGCTCTTTCTGACGAGAAAGTACAGCAGGATGACGGATCGACCCAGGCTTGAGCTTACCAAAATCAAGGTTAACTCCATCCTCGATGTGAGGGAACGGGCCCAAAGGCGTAATAGCCCGTGGATTAATATCATAATGACTCTTGGTATACTATGCGTATGGTTAGCATCAGCAAGAGAACAGCTAAAGCAATACTTACGTTCTCCTTGATGTGTCTAAAATCGGTAGTCTCTCTAAACCCTCTCACATTCCAGTATAAATTCTTCACCCACTCATGGATAACTGGATAGTTTCCACGAATGGTTCCAAGATCGCATTTGAAGTGGTTGACATACACAACGTCGAAACGAATGATAGTCGCGTATGCACGCAAGTCAACTTCAGTCATGTCTTTCCCAAGTACGTATGGACCTCCGTTCTTGTAAATCAATTGTTCGAGCTTGTTGAGCGCCGCAAAGACAGTTGGTACGTTATTGTCATACGCTTCTTGAGTGGGTGCAAAACCGGCTTTGTAGACTCCGCTGTTAAGGTCGCGTTGCATCCACACGTTGATCTCGTCAATGGTAGATTGTAGACTCTCTGGGTAGAGGTCAATGTCTCGACCTTGCGCATTGGAATCAAGGATTGAATCGAAGGCAGTGGGTAGCCATCGAAGCAGCTCAGCGCTTTCGTTGTTCACCATCCGATTGAGTTTCTTATCCCAAAGAACTGGTACACTGTATCGTCCCTTGTAGTCTGGATCATCTTTGAAATAGACTTGGTGAAGATACTTGGACTTGAAGAGCTGGTCTTCTGTAGCGCCTTCGTAATCATCAGGTGAGCTTGGGAACTGCCATCCGGGCCAGCCCTTGTCGTCACCCTTTGGATACGGCTTTACAATCGAGATGTCGATAATAGACTCGAGGCCCTTGATGTGACGAACGAGGTTGGCGCGATGGGCAAAAGGACAGAAAAGTCCAATGTATAAATGGTAGCGACCCTTTTCGGGTTGGAATTGTGAGTCTGAACTCACGACTCCATGCCAAGAGTCATCTGCATTGGCGTGTATCGACATCTTTGGGTTGGGTTTATAGGTCAAGAATGAATTGCAGGAGTAGGGTGTGTGATATGGTTTGTTAAATATGTGGATTGTTTGTAAGCAGCGTGTGTTTGTAATACATAACCCCGCTTTAAAGGACTCAATCATCAATGGTGACGTCGAAGAAGCCATTATTAACTTTGTGCGGAAGCACAGGAAATATGATGTTTGCATCGTCCTATAAATGTTTCTGAAGTCGAATTAATACCTATTAACCGTCGGTAAAGTAAAGTGTTCCCTCTAAGCAAGAGAGAGCAGGCCGGATTGAATAGGTGTCAGTATAAGACAATTGGGTATCACTGATATAAAAGATCATAGTTTTCAGTAAAACAGATGTGGTAATATTCAGTAACAGTAAGTAGCTGCATGTTCCTTCCACTTTTGCTAAAGCTAAGAGTTACAATAAAATATGTTAACGAGAGTGTAAGAAGAAAACCAATCCAGTCATAACCATTCGTCGTTCCGACTTCCATTCGTCAATCGTAAAGTCCTTAGAGGTAAAGAGCGGTATTTGCAAGAGAATAATGAAAGAGTGAAGCCTTGCGTAGGTTGTCTGCTGTCAGAAAAGATAATGCTGGCCCTTCAATCGCAGACTTGTGGCCAGTTGTCGAGGTTGTTTGCATCAAGCAAACTGGCATGGTCCTTGCCAAGCGAGGTCATGGAGTTGTTTACCATCTGTCCTCGCGACCTCGGCCGGGCTTTCCACCCTTACCAGGACGGTCGTTCTCCCAGTCGTTGTCCCAATCACCGCGGCCATCACCACGTCCATCACCGCGACCAGGCTTGCCACCCTTACCAGGACGGTCGTTCTCCCAATCATCTTCCCAGTCACCACGACCATCACCGCGGCCAGGCTTGCCACCCTTACCGGGACGGTCATTCTCCCAGTCATCGCGACCTCCCTTGCCAGGGCGATCATGGTCCCAGTCATCGCGACCTCCCTTGCCGGGACGGTCATGGTCCCAATCATCTCGGCCAGGCTTGCCCTTGCCAGGCTTGTTGTAGTTGTCCTTCTTGCCAGGAGGCTTGTAGTTGTCCTTGCCTGGGGGCTTGTAGTCATTGCTAGGAGGCTTGTAGTTGTCCTTGCCTGGGGGCTTGTAGTCCTTGCCAGGAGGCTTGTAGTCATTGCTAGGAGGCTTGTAGTTGTCCTTGCCTGGGGGCTTGTAGTCCTTGCCAGGAGGCTTGTAATCCTTGCCAGGAGGCTTGTAATCCTTTCCAGGAGGCTTGTAATCCTTGCCTGGGGGCTTGTAGTCATTGCTAGGAGGCTTGTAGTTGTCCTTCTTGCCTCCATGCTTGTAGTCGTTCTCCCAAGGCTTGCCCTTGTTGTAGTCGGGCTTGCGTCCATGATCGTAGTCAGGCTTGCGTCCATGGTCATAGCCCTTGGAAGGCTTGTTGTAGTCGGGCTTGCGACCATGGTCATAGTCGGGCTTGCGGCCGTGGTCGTAGCCACCCTTGCGGCGGTCATCGTCCCAGTCGTTCCAGCCCTTGGAAGGCTTGTTGTAGTCGGGCTTGCGACCATGGTCATAGTCGGGCTTGCGGCCATGGTCATAGCCCTTGGAAGGCTTGTTGTAGTCAGGCTTGCGACCATGGTCATAGTCGGGCTTGCGGCCGTGGTCGTAGCCACCCTTGCGGCGGTCACCGTCCCAGTCGTTCCAGCCCCTGGAAGGTCTGTCCCAGTCACGACGATCGACGTCGCGGCCAGGCTCAGCAACCGGAGCCGGAGCTGCGGCGATGCTCGAGGTGAGAGCCAAGAGGGTAACAGCAGACAGCTTCATCTTTGCTGTAGTGGAATGAAAGTGTTTGTAAAGAAGGTGTTGAGTCCCTTGAGCGAGTGAAGAGACTAGAAGTGAAGAGTGATTGTGAGGAAGGAATGCGGATGAGGAGTGAAGAAGAAAGGATTTGAGCGAGGGAAGAGGCTCCTTTTATGTTTTTTCGTGATGCTATTGAAGCTCGTAGACTTGGTGAAAACTGGTAGTCTCTTGATACGAGGATCGAGATGCGCTTGTGCAGTCTTGCAAAACCATTGCTATGCTCTGACCTTGAGTCGGGACCGAGTCCATCACCAGTTTGCTTTGGTTTGGTGCAACAACTTCCATCATGATGCGGTAAGGCAAGGCTAGTTGACCAGACCGAGACAAGGTGGCGAAATGAGAACATTTCCCCAGCCATCCGAGTTGTGCTTGGTACAAGAAAAATGAGTTGTGTCAACATGTGTGAAGGAAGTCTCACTCGAAAGAATTAAGTCAAAGCGACTGTCGTTCTGTCATGGTTGTATCACCCTCTGCAGGTGGCGGTTGCTTACTTTTGCGACTCTATTCCCACATAGCCAATGGAGCCATTGACTGTGGTGTTTATGCGTGCAGTATGCATATGCAAGAACAAGCTTTACTGCACAGTTAAGTGCCCCTGAGGCTGATGTTGAAACGGTAAGATGTTACCGTCTGGGTCAGCAGCAGATGCATTGCATTAGTGGGAAACACAGCTACCGACTGGCTCGGACAGAAAAAATGTCCGCGACCCGCGAACATGGTCGTGGATCACGCTGAGATCTTGCCAAGTCGCTGTACAACCCCAGTGGCATACTACTAAAAGTCCAGTCAGCTTGCGTACGCAGATACGAGAATAATAATAGTAGAATCAATTTATTAGCCCAATAAAGAGTTTTACAACTCTTTTGTCCATGGTTCTGCCCTCAATTGCATGGCAGAATTCGCCGGAAGATCGTCACTGAACTGTTCGGACAGTCCCGAGACAGCACCAACCACTACCAAGTTTGTACATCTGCAGGAGTCCAAATGAGTCTGGTCTGGTCCGGTCTAGCCTGGCCTGGTCGAGTTTAGTGTGGTCTTATTCGGCCGTTATACATGGCTGTAGGCTCGAGAATGCAGGTATCAAGCCATATCGGGCCTCAACGTTGAGGTAATTCCAACGGCCAACATCAGCACTAAAGGCCAAGTTGTTGGTTCTACCAGTGGGAGGCAATTTAACCTTCCCGTCTTGGCTATTGTGGAAGCTGGTCTGGGCTCGCCAGCGATCTGGAAACGAAGAACTAAACCGATCTCGTTCTTGGCTCACGATTAAAATTCCGTCCTGTCATCTGTCCGTTTATGATGATCCCCACTCGTCCTAACTTGACCTTGTTTCTGAAGGAGCCATCTCGATCGGGACACGTTTAGTCCGCTTGGACGTTGTGTTGGCTTAACTGGGCGGCGGTTGTATCTCCAGCCAGACAGTTCAGTTTACGCCGACCTGTTGCATTATGTGGCCAGGTCTGGGAGGTTGGTAGATGTGAGCGTAATCGTGCATACGCCTCTTATAGACGTGATTAATGCATGTTACCAACCATGCAGCAATATCGCAAGAGTATTTGACTCCAAGATGACGGCGATTGGTGCCCGCTGAAGGCCGGCGTTTTTGTCAATACGTTTATGCATAATTCAAGCATCAAGTTTTGTATTCAAATCACTTTTCTCTGCAATTGTGGACTGTTTTATGAAGCCTCACGCCACGAGTGGCATCAACGATGCTTATTCAAGCCCTTACCCAATGAGGCCATCTGAAGAGCGAGCGAGGCCAAAAGCGTATTGCCATTTGCCTCTAGTGCCTTGGGCTATAATCAACGAGGTAATTTACTCCAGACTAGAAATATCAAAGGGTGTGAGAATTCTACTACATTCGCTTACACAACATTCGATAGTCTTGTTTGGAGTATTTTTAGCTTCATTCGGAGACTTTCCTCTCCAAGAGGCCCTCCCTGCAATGGAAGCATGAGTCCTCATTCGGCCAGAGATTGTCAAACACGTGATATGTGAAACAGCTTATTCTTCGTATTTACATACGTGCATCAGTATGATGACCAGATGGAATTACCATAGTCATTGGGCATGTCCACTGAGCAAATCATAGGGCAGTAGCTTCATTCTGCTGCATGATTCTCGAGTGCTCAGCCGCATGTTGTGCAAGGAAGACGTGCAGTACCCGTACTAATCCGGAGAGAAGATAACGATCTATGGATCTCGCAGCAATACTCGATTGAGAATTGATACTAGCCTGGCAATTGTTGGGGCTAACCATCGATGAATATTACTTGTGTGTCAGCATAGATCGAAAGATAAAGAAGCAATATTCCGTAACCTTGTCTCCACTGCTGGTGCTATCGAGTCTAGACAATAAACAAATCATCGCAAGCGAGTGCTTCCCAACATCAGTGTACTATCCTATAGTAAATCCTTAACCACAGCACTGTGGCTGTGGCTGTGCGTAAGTCTACGACCGTGTGCTACACGGAATGCATGAATAGGCTCACAAGCACGATGTGAAATGATTCACTATTTCATAATCTATTACGCGGGTTGCAGATAATACTTACAGAATTCAGCGAGAACGTCCGAATCATCCACTCAGGTGATAGAACTCTGTTTGGGGATTCAACGGCTTCAACTTGACAGTTTTTATCCACATTTGCTTCCCCAGCCCAAATTCCGGAAATAGGTGATCTAGTCATAGTATGACACTGGTTTTCAATGTCCAACAGTACCTCCACAGTGGATAGTTTTAAGCCACCATGAAAACATTGACTTCTATCATTTGATTCGAATGGTACTGGTAGTTAAGTGATTGGTAGGTGGTCCATGTTTGCCATCCACCCGGCTTTGGTCATGGTGGACCAGCGCTATGCTAAGGCATCGTACAAGTGGTGTTACTCTCACCACTCCTCGCCTAGGCCTAGTGGAAGCTATGCAGAGTTTTAGCCGCCGATAGACGCGAATGTTAAGTACTCATACATGAGAGATGTATCCCTAGAGAGTCCGAAGACCGAGATACCATCGACATACGTTAACCATGGAAACACAATGCCAGTGAGAACAGTGGCGCAATTGCCACGATAGAGTTGCGCCTAAAATGTACATACCCTGCTACCGCTGTGTAGCTGGAGTGAGGGTAAAGGTTGTCTTCAATATGTTTCTGGGCGAGTCGCTACCATTGGCTTCCAGGATGTGATATTCTTCGCCCGTGTTTGCCTTTCTAGTATTTGATAGAGACTGTCTTGCAGTATTTGGCGCATTAGCCGACTTCGTAAGTAGAAGTCATTCGATTACTTTCATTAAGTTGATTGCAGGGCAATAAAAGATTTCGTTATGAGATACTGTTCAGCGTCAAACAATGTTAAAGCTTTAACATGACTTGCCTTGGAAATGTTGCTTAAAGTCGTTGTTATCTACCATTTTCCCTTGTCTCTAAGCTTACATACTATCTTTAAGTGTCGTAGTTGAGTTTTAGTTGCGATATTAATCCAGTGGACCGAGAATCCCCTTCTATGAAGCATCTTAAATTTTGAAAGATTATCGTACCACGGGTTCAAATGATAACTTCACATGAAGCTGAATGTAATAGCAAAAATCGAATGATGTATCCTACCCTATTCTAAAAGAAAGAGATTGTCAGCAGATGGCGTCTAACAAGGCGTTTTAATGATGAATACGGTGTCGGAGTCTACAAGGATGTGGGATTTGACAATGGGAAGGATATTACTTGGGGCGTCTACTTGGCCAAGATAGCCCGAGATGTTGAAGAGGAGAAGATTTATTGAAACTGAAAACACATGTGTCGTAAACGTCTATGACGTCAATGACTCTAACTTGCTCTGGAAGACGTGATGAGCTATGATGGAAACTGCGCATGAACGACCACTGCTGATGGATTGAGTCGCCCATCTAGAATCTCATTGCTTCCTACCGGAGATAGCAATATCTTTCCAGCCCAGAGATTCACAGCTGATGGTCCCATTGAACTTCTCGTACCTGCTGCCAGAAAAGACCAGATACCCCATTCCTGATTGTATCTCATCTGTCGCGGACTCCGTTTCAGCGTGGACGCTGTGCTGAGGGGCTGCGAGGACTCTTCCTTTCCAGAAAAGCCAAAACTTAGGTTGCCGGAAAGTGTTTTTCTCAAATTTGTTGAATCTTGCTTGTTCCTTTTCTTCGTAGGCGGCGATATCCGATGCCCCAGGAGTGTCAGAGGCTTGCGAAACTCCCATATCCTTATCAGTCCTCATACTCTCAGAGTCGCCGCTGGAGATTGGACTCGTAACGTGAGAGTCGTCCTCAGAGTTGGATTCTTCTTCATCTGAGGCATATTCAGTGGCGATGATGTCCTCGAGTCCCTTCCGGCTCCCCGCCATGTGCACGACAGCATTCAAGACGCCCGGTAGATGGAGACTACCATACAGCCCATCTTCGTCTGTGGTGAAATTCCGTATGTTGAGGTTGGCGCTGTAGCTGTGTTGCTTTTTCTTTCTGCCCTTCTTTGCTGTAGATTGATCTGGTGAATTACCGTCAAGGCCCTGCTGCCGGGCTATTGCATCCACCTTTGCGCATTGAATACGATAGAGGCCGAAGGCATGGGAGATGTTGCCAGTTTTCGCCGTGGACTTTCTTGAACGCCGGTTGTGGGTGTGTCTTGAATCCAAGAGCTCGTCTTCCCAGTGATTATCCATAATGTAATAACAGGAAGACCTGGTAGCAACTATTAAGCTATGATCTTTTTATAAAGAGCTTGCGCTATATAGTAAGCTTTATTTACATAGGTAAGTAGTTATAAAAAGGTATTAGCTAATATCACTTTCTTATTATAATTAATTATCTTTATAGTTTTATTAAAAAACAATTTTAGTTATAATTAAAAAGAAAAGAATTTACATATTTCTTTATATAATTAAGTCAGTTTTTTAAATATATTTTCCTTTATATAAATAAAAGTAACTTAATATATTTAATAAGCAAGTGCTTTAGTAAAGTAAGTACTTTAAAAATCTTAGCTATTATCTTTTAATTACTAATAAAAGTAATATAACCTATCTAATTAATTAAAATTACTTACTATACTCTTTTCTAAATACCTTTAAAGCTACTTAATAAATTCTTATATTATACCTAGTCTTACTATATATACTATATTATTAAATACTTAGTTTAACTATAATAGTTATAATTCCTAAGAGATAAATTAGTCTATACTAGGTTTATATTAGTAGATATATAAAACATAGATACTAAGTATTATAAAGTATTATATCTCTTAATAGTAAATAGAGTAGGTTAAGTATATTTAGGTAAAGAAGGCTTATTAATAGCTAATAAGCTAAGTATTCTATTTAGTACTAAGTAAATATATATATATATAATAGTCTTACTAGTATAGTTATAAGCGTTAAGAAAAGGCTTATAATTACTTAGGTAAGCTAGTAAGTAAGTTTATAGCTAGTATTATAAGCTTAGGTAAGGCTTATATAAATATAGGTAAGCTAAGCCTTAATTAGTAAAAAATATAAGGTATATATAAAATAACTATAGAGATTATAACATAATCTTTTCTCTTTTATAGTCTTATCCTTAAGATCTATATAACTTATTTTTCTAACTATTTTCCTTATATAAGTCTAACTTAATTCTATATCTATTATATTAGAGTATTCTAATAAATAAAAAGTAAATACCTTTAATACTATTTTATTATTATTATAATCCAACAAGTAGATTAGTTACCCTGTATATAGCTTTACATTTTTTACTAATTATATTATTAGGATAATTAATAATAATTAGTACTAAGCCTTAATAATTAGCACTAATCTAATATAATTAGTACTAATTTACTAGAATTAGTACTAATTCTAAGATAAACTTATTAATTACCTATAAATTACCTAAGTATATATATATTTACTTAGTACTAGTTAGTATACTTAGCTTAATAGCTATTAATAATACTTCTTTACCTAAATACCTTCTATTTACTATTAAGAAATATAATATTAATATATTACTTAGTACTATACTTTATAACTCTATTAAATATAAACTTAAAATAAACTAAGTTTACTTATTTAAAAACCTAACTATTATATATTAATAGCTCTTATTTAAACTATACTATATTAATAGCTAAGTAATATTATATTATTAAGATAATTAGTAATAATACTAATAATAAACTAGTACTTTCTTATACTAAAGTACTACTTAGTATAGTAGAACTAATAGCTAAAATATAGTAACTTAGAGGTATTATATATACTTTACAAGGTTAAATTAATAAATAACCTATAATACTTATATTTATAGAGGAAACTACCTTAAATTACTATAACCTTAGTAAAATTACTAAGCTATTTTTACTAGTACCTTTCTATAAATAGTCTATAGATATAGTACTATTCTTACTTTAAATAAAGGGGTACTTTAGGTTATTTTTAAATAAGTTAAATATTCCCTAGAAGAAAATATTAACTACTATACCCCTTATCTAGAGAAATATAAAGAATTAGTTTAAACCTATTTAAAGGGACTATTTAAAAAATAAAAAGAATATTTAAAACTAAAAGATATAAAATATATTCTTAAACTAGCTAAACTTTAAAGTACTACTAAAAGATAATTTTAAAATTATTAATAAAGAGTAATAAGCTATAGCTAAAATTCTTATATTTAAGTAAACTAAGTCTTATATAGTATACTTTACTAAGTTTTAATAACTTATAGCTAAGACTTAATAGGATAATAAAGTACTTATAGAATTATACTACTAAGGTTTTAAAGAAAAAGTAAAAGATAAACTCTTTAAAGTAAATAAACTAAAAGACCTTATAAAGTATATTATAATAGCTATTAAGATTAATAAAAGATAGTATAAATACTAATAAAAGAAGTAAAATACTATATAAAAGGGTAATAATTTTAACTCTTACTATTCTAACTAGTATTATAGTAGTAATAGAAATAGTAATAACTAAAATAACTCTTAGTATTTATAATAACTATAAGAGTAGTAAAATAATACCTTATATAGAATATATCTAAGACTAATAGCTTTAGGGGTAATATAATAACCTTTATAATAAATATAAGATATATCTAAATATAAATATTATAATTATAACTAATTTAGATATATAGTATAATAATACCTATAACTATAGAAATTATAAGATTTAAACTATAGTAAGCTATAAACTTTTAAAGTTATTAACTACCTTAGCCCTTAAATAGTATAATATAGATAAATACTAGGTATATACTAAATAGGCTATAATATAGCTAATAATACTATAGTTAAGGTTACTAACTTACTAATAGAATAAGTACTTTACTTAAATAGTTTAGTAAAATATCTATAAAACCTATTTAAGAATTATTAAGAAGTTATAGATATATATTACCTTAATAAGAAAAAACCTAACTTAGGGTATAATACTTTAAAGGATCTAAAGTATTTAGTAAAATAGAAAAGAAAAAAGAAGTAATATAATAACTATATAAGAAAATAAAAGAAATATAACCTTAAATTTAAGAAATAATATAAGTAAACTAAAAGGAAAAGCTAATAAAAATAGCTTAGAAAGACCTAGATACTAAAAATAATATATTTACTTTTAAAGACTAAATTAGTACTTATTTATAATAGATACTATAACTTAAATATAGACTTAAATAATAAGAAAAGAAAAAGAATTATTACCTATAAAGAAGTCCTAATTAAAATAAACTATATAATAACTTAACTACTACTAAAAGCTCCTATTTAACCTCTAAGGCTATAAATAGAACTACCTATAGATAGAGCTATAACCCTAGATATATAATAAGTAATAGATAATATCCCTATATAAACTAAGTTAATAGAAAAACAAATAATAGTTAATATAAAAAGAGCTATAGAATATTACTAATAAATTAAGTAATAGTAGTATATAAGAAGTATAGGATATTAAGAAGGAATAGCCTATATAATAGTATAATATCTAGAAAAATAAGATAAGGATCTAAAGAATAAATAAAAGAAACCTTACTTACTACTCTATAATAAAGTAAAACTATAAATATTTACTAGCCCTTAAGAAAGGTATATATAGAATATATAAGAATACTATATAATATAAGTAAAATAAATTATATTTATATATAAGCTTACTACTAGATAAATATAATAAAATAAACCCTTACTATAAGAAAGATAATTTTAATACTAAGGATAATATATATATACTACTAATAAACCTTTTATATAAGGAAATCTCCTAGGTATTATATAGATATTATTAGTATAACCTTTACTTAATAAATAAAGAAAATAATAATTACTTTCCTATAACTATTTTAAGAATACCTAATAATAAACCTTACTTAGCTACTAAAATATTAAACTACTTAATATATACTTAATATAAAAACCTTAAGGTAGTAAAACTATACTTTAACCTTATAAACTATTAATTAAAACTATAATAATAGAAAACCTTTAATAAAGTATAATAAAACCTTTAGATAATTAAAGATATTAAAAGAAAGTTTAAGGAACTTATAAAAGGGAAATATAAATACCTTAAGAAACCTAAAGAAGATAACTAGTTAAAAACTATAAAGAAAGTTAACTATATATAAAAAGAAAATAAACTTTACTTAGTAAGTATTTTTAATAATAAATTAGAAAAAGAATATTACTATCTATAATAGAGCTATAGATAAGTAAAGTATAGAACTAAAAATAACTTAGAATAAAAAGTACTTTAGGAACTATATAGAATAGTAAGCCTAACTACCTAGTATTATAGGTTTAGATTAAAGAGAAATAGCTAAATATATAGATTAACTATAAAGTAAAATAAAACTTTATTAACCTAAGACTAATTATAGAGTTAGTATTACTATAAAAGAAAAAATAACTACCTTATCTAATTATTAATATAAAAGGATAACTTTTTAATTATAATAATAGAATTATAAACTAAGAAACTAATTACCTTTATATTTATATTTAAAGAAGAATCTAAAAGGAAAGTTTTAATATTATTTTACTAAAAATAGAAATTAATATTATCTTAGGTATATTATAGCTTAAATAAATAAATCTATATATAAACTAGCTAATTAGCTAAGTTATACTCCTATATAACTTAAATAGCTATATAAAACTAATTATAATAAATATAAGGAGATTTTAAACTTTAATTAAAGAGGAAGGTATAGGTAAGTATAGAATAAAGTATCTACTACCTTTAAAAGAAATATAATATAAGTATAAGATAGGTAAGAAATAAAGAATAGAAATCCTTAGTATTTATAAATAATAAAATACTAGAAAAGATAAATAACTAAAAATAAGCTAAGATTAACTTAAGAAAATACTAAAGAAATACTAATATTATAATAAACTATTTTAAAAAGAAGTTAAGATAAAAATCCTTAAATATAGCTAATAAGACTATAAAATTAGTTTTATAAATAAGAACCTACTAATATAAAAACTCTATTTACTAAACTAAAAGGAACTATAAGTATAAAAAGAATA